GATGAATTACGAATCTTCTACACTTGCATTCCGCGCTCAACAGTAGTATCCGAATGTCCAGAATCAAGGATTCGAGATTTGATATTTCTAGGTGACAATAAGGCCAGATAAAAAAAACACTATAACCAATGAGGGTAGCATCGATCTGTTTTCACTTTCAGACCAGAAATTTCCAAGATAAACAAACGAAGGAAGAAGCCAAAAACTGAAGAGTCAATATTCTCTAGACATCACGCGCGGGGAATCACCGAAGAAATCAATCGTCATTTACGAGAAGTCCTCCTCAGCTTCCTCAATGTTATTCTTGATCCTCAGAAGGAGGGTTGTCTTCCACTTGTCCAGTTTGCTGAGCTGGTCAAACTGGAAGAGCTTGTCGGCGAAGCCTTCCTGGTCACCATTCTCGACAGCCTGGGTCAAGTCCACGAGTAGCTGGTGCTCTCTTGTCGAACTAAAGGAAGGATCGAGTTCTCGGTATGATTCCAAAGCACGGTTAGTCTCAACAAGATCCTAGAAATAATTAATACTCTGTTTCCCTATAAGAATAAGATGGAAACAACGTACTTTTGTGGCAAGGTGGCAGATGCCTGCCTTCAAAAGATAATCCTTCACAGACCACTTCATCAGGTGGTTGTTAATAGAGCTCCGGGCGATGCGTTCGTAGTTGGTGATGGCTTTGTAATAGTCACTTTCCAGGGCAGACAGGTCCGCCACCTTGAGGTAGTGCTTGTTTGCGAGGCTGCATTGTAGTATATGTTAGCCGAGTTACTTCCCCGAATCCACAGATATCAAAAAAGATCATGGGATACATACGCTTCAGCATTATCACCCTCGAACCAATCGGCAGCCTTCTCGTACGCCTCTAGCGCCTTCTTCATATCTCCAAGTTCCACCTCATACAGTTCAGCCAGGTATTGCTGTTGCGTTGCTGCGCGGCGCAGGTTTCCTCGTAGTACGTAGTGCTGGATGGCACTGGAAAGTACACGGGCAGCATCCTCGGGGTCTGTCTTGCGGTAGACCTTGAACGCTTCCTGGAGGTTATTTGCAGCGTCGTCGGGTTCGTTGAGGCTCTGAGTTTGGATGGAGGCAGCTTTCTCAAAAGCCAGACCGGCCTCCTTGTCTGTTTTAGAACGCAGGTCAGTCATCTAGCTAACCCTTGGCAAGTCAACGAACTAGTTAGGCCGCGGGGTATCTCACTCATTTTCTGTACTCGGAACGCATTTGCAGCCTGGGTATACAGATCTGCAGCGCTCTCATATTTCTCTCCTCTTCCTCCAAACCAACCGAAGCCGCTAGAGGCACCGGACAGCGCTTTATCGGCCTATTCCATCGCAACAAGCGAGGTCTAGTCAGCTATGCGGACTATCGTCATTGCCCATGCAAGGTGGGGAGGAATGCTTACTTTTTGGAGCAGGACACGGGGATCTTGAGTCATCTTGAGTGTATGTGTCTGTTTTCCCTGCAATAGGCAGTAGTCCGCAGATATTCGATGTGAAGTTGGAGTGTCGTGGTCAAATGAGGTTGTTATCGATGAGAGCATCGATCGGCGGGCCCGTGGAGGCGGTGTCACTTATTTCTCGATATCCGCCTAAGCTCCCTGGTGCTAACCTACGACTACTTTTACACTGTGCTGTTCAGATTAGACTGTGCTTCTATCTCACTCGTCTGCTTTCTCTATATTCTTCCCACGGCAGAATTTCCCATCCTCAGAGACTCTACAATGACCTCTCTTCGCACTGCTGCTCGGCTATCCAAGTCGCTACGCCCCGGTCCTCCCCGACTCAACACGACCTTCTGTCGCTTCTACTCTTCCAAAAAGTGCCACAGTGCAGACATCGAGTTCTTACTTGGTGCGCCGAACTGGTCTGTCAGATCACTCCTCCCGAATCCCGCTTCAAAACCGCCACCGTCAATCACGCCGAAACAACTCCATCATCTGCTGCGCATCTCGGCTCTTCCCCAGCCTGCCAGCCAAGAAGAAGAACAGTCTATGCTTGATACACTCGAGTCTCAAATTCATTTTGTGAAGGAGATCCAACTTGTTGATACTACCGGCGTCGCGCCGCTGGCTAGAATTCGCGACGAAAGTCCTGCTGCTATGGAAGAGGAAACCATTGGAATCGAAAGGCTCAAGGAGGCCCTAGCTAAGGAAAAGGTGTCCGGACGACGGAGAAAAATCCAGCGTGTCCCAGGTGAAAAAAACAATCATCCGGATGGAACCGCTTGGGATGGGAATGCGCTCGGGTCCGCGACAAAGACAAAGGGGAAATTTTTTGTCGTTGAAATCGGCAATTGAGTTACTCCCTCGACTTTCTACGGCATTGAATATACAGAAGGCATAAATATTCCGCATGAAGCAAAGCAGAGTGATATCAACTCAACATGGTCAGGTGTTTCTGCCTCAGGCCATTGGCGGAGTAAGCACCCGTGACTATCGGGGGCCATGACAACATCGCCCCCTCTCCAACAACATCGGTTTCTGCCTGTTTACTCCTCGAAAAGTCGTCAACTCCTTTTTCACCTCTATTCAGCGCCAATGTTCAAAAATTTCAAAGAAAAACATGGAGGATTCTTTGAATCTAAGCAATCCAATGCTTCGGAAAGCGATCGCGGTCAAGATCTATCATCGATCTTGGATCGGTCGCAGCGTGCTGACTTAACTGTCCTCGTCTCTGAGGTAGCTGAGTCAATGCGGGTTCGAATTCTAGAGCTTTATGAGCATACAAATACAAAGGATAATTCCCCCAATCACTCCAGTCCACGCCCATCTCCGGGGGCGGACCGCGATGAAGACACGCCACACTTGCCCTCAAGCCCACAAGACAAGGACGCGTCAGGAAACACTGGAAGTCCGCGGCAGGGATCTACTAGCAAACAGCCAAGTCCCCGGCCAAAGATCCGTGCGCTCTCCACTTTTGAGGATTGGAGGGATTCTGTCCTTTTGCGTGTTGGCGCGGTCGTCAATAAAGATGATGATGATCAGGAAAAAAAGGCAGGCGAAGACCTGCAGAACGCCGCCAACTCTGATGATCTTCCACTGGACGAGGATAAAGATAGAGTGGCCAAGTTACAAGAAATATACCACCCCGTGGAAACACCTTTGGCAAAACTCCCAAAAGCAACAAGACTGCTTATTCTTCACTCGCTTCTCCTTTTAATGCTCAGCCTAGAGCACTACAGTGCTTACTCAAGAGTCTTGATGTTGAACGTCACATCCAGTCTGAACATAGATATCAACATACTCAATCAAGACGAAGTCACTGTCGCTCGCGGATTGCTGCAGACAGCTTTGGCGCTCTCGGCAGATCAAGATACCAAGGAGCAACCAAAGAAAAATGATGACATGAGAAAATGGAAAGTGGGCCTTGCATCTGTGGCTGGAGCTGCTTTGATTGGCCTCACTGGCGGACTCGCAGCTCCATTGGTAGCGGCGGGCCTGGGAACTGTTATGGGCGGATTGGGCCTTGGCGCTACCGCTGCTGCTGGGCTTCTAGGTACTTTGGCCGGAAGTAGCGTCGTTGTTGGTGGCCTTTTTGGCGCTTACGGTGGACGTATGACTGGTCGCATGATGGAAAAGTACGCACGTGAAGTGGACGACTTTGCCTTCATACCGATACGAGGAGAACCCCGCCGGAATGTGAAAGAGAAGGAGTCTGCTAAACAAGATCATCGTTTACGGGTTACCATTGGTGTTACCGGTTGGGTCAAGGAAGAGTCGAACTTCGTGATCCCATGGCGGGTGATTGGTGCCGACTCTGAAGTGTTCGGTCTTCGCTGGGAGATGGAGCCTTTGATGAACCTGGGTAACGCGATATCAGCTCTTGTGACTAGCGCTGCTTGGTCGGTTGCCGGACGTGAGGTTTTGGCTCGTACTTTCTTCCACACGATCATGAGCGCGGTAATGCTTCCCCTAGGCCTCATGAAAGTTGCTGGCATCGTCGACAACCCGTTCAGCGTGGCTAAAGCCCGCGCCGATAAAGCGGGCGAGGTTTTCGCTGATGCCCTGATCAACAGAGCCCAGGGAGAACGACCCGTGACTTTGATGGGGTATTCTCTAGGGTCTCGGCTGATTTTCTCCTGCCTCAAAAGCCTAGAAAGGAGAGACGCGTATGGCCTGGTCGAATCGGTCATTTTGATGGGGTCACCTACCCCTTCAAACGCGGAGGACTGGCAAAAGATTCGCAGTGTTGTAAGCGGACGTGTTGTGAACGTGTTCTCTGAAAATGACTCTGTACTCGCTTTCCTCTACCGAACAAGCAGCTTTCAACTCGGTGTAGCGGGATTGCAGCCAGTTGAAGGTGTTCCAGGTGTTGAGAACCTCAACGTAAGCGAACTGATCAGTGGCCACCTGCGGTATCAGTTTCTGCTTGGCAGAATTCTTACCCTTATCGGGCTTCAGGACCTTGATCCCAGTGAGATTGAACGCGAAGAAGCTGCTCTTGCCCATGAGGATAAGCGACAGGAGAAGGAGCGGTTAGAGAATGAGCGCAAGGCTGGTGTTAAAGACCGGGAATCATCTGCTGCTCGTGAGGCCCTGAACAGCCAGGAGGGCTTTGGGGAAGATGCACGGTTGCAGAAGAAGGTCGAGGCGCAGACTCAGGAGAACATGATGACCCACCGGATTGAAATGATTGATATGGACGACGATGATTATTCGGCGCCTTTGAAAGAAGATCCCTTGAAGCATTCTGCTTTGTAGATGAGGACTTGGGGTTTATAATACAGTCGAGCACATCTGTCAAATATACCTCTGATACAATGTATAAGTTGTCACTTGTCAACTATTGCCGTAAGAATGGGCTGAGCCTTTGATATTCTGTCTCAACTATAGAATAAACAACTTGTAGTGACAACATGATCTGTTAGTTTCCTTAGCTAGTTTCCCTCGCACCATAAACCAGATTCCAATATTCCAACCAACAATGACTGTCCAGTTCGAACTGAACCAAAGATCACACGCATGCTGTTACCTTCGATACCGATAAATCCAACCTTGAAAGCCTTCAATGGCCCCACAAGCTCAAACGGTGTATAAATTCACAACTGGATTCATCAGCTCCATTTTCTTCCGCCCGTCGTTGACCTATCCAATCCGTATAGGCATGGAATTTCCGAAACTGGGACTTCTGGGACCAGAACCTCGTAAGCCAGGTTTGGATATGGCTGAGCTCCGAAACGCCATCTGGGAAATAATACGACCACAATTCCGAGTCCCATGTCGTATATATTCTTGCATCGTCAAAAATCCTAAGTCCATCACACAAATTTGCTCTCATCGCATACATGAAATGGTGTAATAGAATAAGAACGATGTATCTCTGATTCGATCGATGGAGCCAAGGATCCGTGTTCATAATAACCCAAGGACAGGTAGATAATTGGTCTCGCATTCGTGTCTCATACGGCGATTCCCAGCTTGTCCCATCTTCGAACCAGTTTTTGTATCGTTCAAGACGAAGGAAGCTGGCTGTTCTGCCTGGTAGTTCATCCAGGCAGGTTTCTAAGAACATGTCGGTATCGGTGAGTGCGTTTCCAATTTGGCGGACGGCTGTGTCCTTGGTGATAGCGAGAAGCCTCTCTAATCGGCGCTCGATCCCTTTTTGATCGAATAGAGACACGAGGGACTGGAATAGGTCTTTGAAATGACGGTCTGACATTGCGGGCACATTTGTTTCTGGATCTTGGACCCATAGCCCTAGACGAAGGAAGGGTAACATGGCAAGGTCGTGGTCAGGACGGAATTTGGGTCCGGACTGGATTGACTCCTGCAGGCCCCCCATCTCATAAAATTGATCTCTGTATATTCCCCAGTGAGTCGGTGGGTCTTCTGCGCACCACGGTCCATTCGTTGCCAGCTCTATAGTCGGCCGAGCCACGGGGATCAGAAGATCGACTAGCAAGTTGAGTTTCTGCCAAAGCAACACCATTTGACCCGGGTCTGATGGATCTGGGCAACTGATATGTACCGTCATCTTCGTTTTTGGATGGGGGAAGTTCTGGAAATGCCTTTTGGCGTCCGCTTTACTACTGAATGCCCACTCAACGTCCACAACTCTGGATTTCAATTGCATGACCATCCAATTTTCTTCGTTATATATTGGGCTGATAAAGATGTGCTGCTCAGAGTTTCTGAATATATGGGATGAGATCTCATTGTAGAGATATCGGCTAGTGCAAAGAATGGATCGAGGTTTGTCTTTATGCAGGCCATCCTTGAGTGGTTGTTCGCGGAGGGACGAGAAGAGATGGTCCCATATTATCAGGCGGATTTCAATGGGAATGCAACCGAATATACCCAGAAAAGGAAATAATAGATATTGCATACTGAACAAAAGAAAGCCGTTGAACTTGATGATTTTGAGTATTAGCGAGAAGAGGGAAACCCCATTTCATCTCACTCACATAGCCAGATACATCGTCAAGTTTACGTCGGAGCTTGCTACTATGCCTTTCTCAGATGTGATGATTTCCCGATTTGGCGCGGAGAAATTGTCTCGTCAAACCCTAAAAAGACCACTTCGACTCGCAATATTTGTATTCGATCTCAACTCATGGTTTGGCCACATGCACAATAATCTTTCCTCTAGCACGGGAGGAGCGAAGCTTCTCGAATGCCTTAACAGCATCCTCAAACTCGTAGGTAGAATCCAGCTGAATTTTGACAGCTCCCTTCTGCACCCATTCCCCGACCTTCACAAGATCTTCACGGGTATTCGTAAAGAAGAAGATAACATATTTCCTCTTTCCACCACCCAAGAAACCAGGCCAAATCAACCTATCAACAAAAGTCGCCACGCCCGACGCGCCAACCTGCACAAATGTCTTCCCAGCCGCCAAGAAGTGATGCGACTCGCGATACATCGGCGCAGGGTATCCAATATGATCAACAATATGATCAAATACAACACCACGACCGCGCAGCGTAGCAACCAAGTCCTCCTCAACTGAGTAATCAATAACCTCATCAGCGCCCAGCCCACGACAAAACTCCACATTCTTCGTCGAGCAAGTAGTGGTAACATGGCATCCCATCTCCTTAGCAATTTGAATCGCGAAAATTCCACATCCTCCAGAGCCTCCGTTGATAAAAACCTTATCGCCGGCACTGACATACTCAGCAAGGGACTGGTACGCTGTCTGTCCCGCAATACCGATGGACGCCGCATGATCAACCTCCACGCCCTCTGGCACGGGCGCAAGCAGACTTGCAGATGCCACTAGGTACTCACCCAGTGAGCCGAATTGGGCAGGCTTACTGAGGCAGCCGAACACGAGCTGGCCCGGTGAAAACTCGGTCGCGCCATCGCCGGCGACCACCACGCGCCCGCAGAAGTCCATTCCCGGTGAGGCTGGTGTGCCGATCACGAATTTTTGTGCTACTAGTCCTACTAATCCCATCTCGGGGACTTTGTAGTCGGCTGGATTCAGGGAGGCCGAGAGGACTTTGACTAGGACATTGTTGCCGTGGACGGTTGGTGGTGCGCGTGCTGAGGCGTCGAAATAGAGGTTCTTTTCAAGACCGTTGGCTGTGCTGGAGTAGAGCCAGGCTTTCATCTCTGAGGGTTGGGTAGATGTCATTTTGGGTTTGAGATGTATGTATGGTTCTTTTGATGTGATCGCAGTTGAGACTCGAGAGATGGTGCCACTTTTGCGGAGGTTAAGTGATGACCTCACCCGCACATCCCCTTTGCATATTAGCGTCGGGAGGTAAACTCATGAATTTGAATACTTGAATGTTTCATGCTACTTGGATGGATTTATGTAAACTCATAATATCTATTCTCATCTTCTCTCCAAAGTCAACACTAGTGCCACGTCGCAATATCGCTGGATAACTGAATAGTCCCATTAGCAACAGAACAGAGGATCGGTTCCAAACATTTACATAACATTAGCCATCCACAGTCCGCAAGGAAAAGTCCTCACCAGTCTCCAGATCAACAAGCCGATGGTTACATCTTAGACGACTATTTCCGTAAATGGTATTATCGGCCTTGGTATAAATATCCACCTACCCTGATCGCCCTCAACAGCCCGGCCGGGCTAGCTCAATCGGTAGAGCGTAAGACTCTTAATCTTAAGGCTGCGGGTTCGACCCCCGCGTTCGGCTATTCCTAAAAACCAAACCTGAGATTTCTTTTTTTAATCTTGTTTTTACCTCGTTGCTCAGGCTGAGGTGGTATTTATGCGAGAAGGGTCCATGGATGCATCATACATGGCTCCCGAACTACATATATAATAGTCAATATGCAATGAACTGTATCTAGTTAGTGGTAATCCATAGGAATACATCGTAGTTATAAGACATCAACTTCTCCCATCTACAACATGAATACACTCATACATTTCCCATACTAAATGACGCTGTCCCTACTAACACACTAGCACCCAATAGAACCGAGTCCATGGTCGTCTCGGTATAACACTGACCGTCAATATTCATACCAGTCGAATCATATAGCAGTTATTGTTTCCAAAGGAGACGTCACCAGAGGCGTGTGGCTAGACAGTTTCAAGCCTACGTTGTTGACGTACCACTTCATAATTTCAGTTAGCAAAAGAATCCTCAGCCTAGATGCTTTGATTTTGTCTGACACACATTACATTAGTTCCACCAGCATTGTATCCTTTCGGTACATATCAGGGCCAGTATTTTCTACTTGGGGTCTCTTTCGACTGGATAGCGACGAGTGCTAGACCGAGATTGGCAGGTTGAAGAAACTTGAGGCAAGGATTCCATTTTCGAAGACCGAATCACCCCCCGTGCTTGCATTATAAATAATCTTTGACAAATCTGGCATTTCATAGCTATTTGTGTTGCCATGCAACTGGTATGCCTACACAATATCTTCCAGAATGGCACCGCCCCAGGCCTCGACATTAGAGGTTTGATGGCTTCCTCCAGTGAGGGCCTTGGAAGGCGTGGGGGCCCGAGTAGATACGCCATGCCATGGATGTGTCGTTCCCACAGGGACCGGGTATCAGGGGATTGGAAGGTTGGGGTATCGGGGGTTGCGCCCAAGCCGCCGAAATTAACTGCCCGCAAAGAATCTTTTCTTCCTGATCAGCACTTTGGGCATAAGTCAAAGCATTGAGCCGTTTGAAGTCATAGTTTGAAGAGCGTCAATTGAAGTATTGTCACTCGCTCTACCAAAGAGTGAGGTGATGTATCACGCATGCCTAGGCCGAAATAAGTACCAAAAGTGGAGAAAATGCTGTTCTGGGTGCTCAGTGCATGTTTATGGCTGTGTTTGGTTATAAAAAGTCCAAGGGCAAACCTGGGAAGGAAGATATCACTGGCTCTTTCATAGGCGCTAAAGTGGTGATGGAACGACGCTAGCCATCAAGCATGAACCGAACACTCCTTGCCTATGAATTACCGCGCGCGCAACACAGTTTCAGCCCATTTCTTTTCTTAGGATACGTATCCGTATGGGACTTTTGGCCGGAGAGCCGTCCTGTCTATTAAATAGCTAATAACTTTCGCATTCCCTTTCCCTTTCATCGTTCATAATCCTTTTCATCCTTCAGAACATAAGCAACGCAAACTTCCAAACTCCAAAGCAAGATCCGGCCCTTCATCAAAATGTCAATCAAGGTTTTTATTCTTGTCTACAGTGGTGATCCACTCGACTACACCAAGTTTCGCCATACGGCTTTACACTTCGAATTTCCGAATGGGTCTACATGTGCGATGCATATAGTAGGCTCACCTGGAATTTTCAGATTCCAGCCAAAGGACGATTACAACCCAGAACAAAGTCGACAACTTGTTTGCAGAATTCCGGTGGCGCATCTGCAAGACTGGATCACCGAAGACACTGTCAGAGGTCTCATTACAAGAACCCCAGTGAAGAATGGGGAAATGGATTGGAATTGCCAAAATTGGGTGGGTGATGCCCTTGCCAGGATGGTGAGCAGTGGGTATTTGACTGCGGCTCAGCGAGCATCAGCCATTGATTTGATGACCGATGCATGCCTGGAAGCGCAGGATGAGTAACTTGTGGACCAATCGTGTTGTCGGTGAGTGATCACATTGGAGCAGACAACAGGAATATTTGCTAACATACCAATTCTAGTCCATATGAACAACACTAGTGCCTATTGCGACGGACGGATGGATGGATGGATGGTGGATGGTGGATAGTGGATGGTGGATGGTGGATGGTGGATAGATGATGGATGAATGATGGATGGAAGGAAGTAGGCGTATCTGCAAAATATCCCTGAAGGCTTCCTTGGATATTCGAGATTGAAGTGATGATTTCTTTATAAACTGCTTGTTCACCCTCAGCCTAGCTGGGTTCGTAGTTACATGAATAATATTCACAGCGTAGCTTATCAACTAGTGACTTAACATGCGAGATAAGAAATTCATGCCTATGTATTCTCTCTCAAATTTGGGAGGAAGAATAATGGCCATATATTCTGGCCAGTCATACATCGGTCTCAGGTGCCGAAGTGCCAGGTAATATTCCCAGTATGCCGGATACCAGCCAGCATATTCCCAGTCAATAATACCTGTCACCCGGCCGTCTTCAACAAGAATATTCCGCGGGGCAAAATCAGAATGAGTAAAGACAATCTCATGGTTATCCATCAGCGCGAATTTGGCATAATGTCGTAGCACATCTGGCGCTATATCGACTATATCTCCTAGAATGAATTCGTTGAATTCCTGCTCGGTATCAAATGGTCCTCCTTCGATGCATGAAATATTTCTCGAGATAGCTTTGCCGCGACCAACAGCCCCGATATAGTCACCTTTCAGTTCGCGAAGTTGGTTCATGTAGGAGCGCAGCTCTTTGGCAATGGAGAGCTTCTGACTGGAGTCCAAAGTCTTCCATGCTTCATCAAGTCGCTTGCCAGGAATGTAGTCCATCACGAGAGCGACGACTTTGCCGTCTTTCCAGCGAATATCGTGCACCTTAGGTACAGGGATCGTTGTATTTGCAGCAATGAAACGAAGTGCTTCCCCTTCCTGAGGGCGGAGGTGGCCCGACTTCACAACGAGGTTATCACCGAGTCGGACAACCGTACGACCGCACAATGAGTGAAGTACCGTCCCTTCTTGGTCGTTGGTTGCTTCTTGGACGTCCATTGCTTCTGGGGTGTTCGTTGATTCTTCGACATCTGTTGTTTCTTGAACGTCCGCTGGTTCTTGGTCGTTCATCCCTCCTTGGACATTCGTTGCTGCTTGGACGTCCGTTGTTTCTTGGGCATCCGTTGCTTCTTGGACGCTCATCCCTTCTTGGACATTCGTTGTTGCTTGGACGTCTGTTGTTTCTTGGACGTGCGTTGTTTCTTGGCTGTTCACCCTTTCTTGGCTCTCCGTCCCTTGATGGATTTCCGTTTCTTGTTGGTCGCTCGTTGTGTTTATGTTGAAGGCTTCTTGGCCGTTCGTGGCTTCGCGGTCACTCGTTGTGTTCATGTTGAAGGGCAGGTTATTGCGTCTTCCGATGCATATCAAGAATTCAGTATAGACAGCTACTTTATGCAGGTGGTAAAGGTAGAAAACTCCAGAAGGCAGGTAAAAACTCGGCCACGTCAACAAGTGGAGAGGGTATGGACAAGTGGAGTCGATTCCAACCTTGAGATTAAAGGCTGCCGCGGTTGCCCAGCGGCTAGAAGCCAACTTTCATTGGCTCCTGAGGGAAGCCCACGAGTTCGAGATAACCATGAGTCAGCACTCACGTGACTGCTCTCGTATGTCCGATCCTTAGTTCAAGCTTGAGATTGGCAGCCTCGGTGCGCTCAATATTCTATACTTTACACAAAGGTTGTTTTACATATTATAGCTGAAAGCTTGGATATGAAGGGAACACCCCTTTAGAATAACTAGCTACTAGGCTAATAATAAGTCACAAGGATCAGACAGGTGCCGCGATCCATGGTGAAAAGTTGAAACATCCAATCAAGCTCAAACGACCTCCTTCCCGGCCAGAAATGTGAAATATGTAGCAGTCTACCATATGGCCAAGGGAGATTGGAGCGAATGTACCGGATAAAGGTCCGGGGAAGGGCCTGGAGAAGGCCCAGAGCAAAGCGGCTAGTAGCCGTCTAATAATGAGGCCACGGTTGGTAAGCGAGGCATTGCACTCCCTTTGGGAGGTTTCTCAGGAAAAGCGCGAACACAAGAAAAAAGGAAAGAAAGGAACCAAGAACTTTATCCTATCTTTGTATCTTTGACGGTTTGTCCAGCTCAGTCGTGAATTCAGTATCTGAGCCTTGTCGCCATCGTTTTCGCTGCTGCTGAGGTTGGGCGGAGGAACATGCGGCGGTCTCGAAAATCTCGTAGAGGACGGACACAATTTCGGCCTTGCTCTTTTCCATCTGTATCGTCGAGTTACGAACTGTATAATCTATTAGTGACATTCTAGTATGTCTCGTAGGTTTCATACTTCGCTGTTAGCGCGGATTTGGATAAAATCCCAGCGGAAACTATCGGTGACAATGCCATAGACGGAAGTGTCCTGCATTTCCGCCGTTTTCCTTGCGTGATGGACTCATTCCTATTTATGTCAGCAGATGCGTATATTCATGCTAGTAAGGTGTAACTCAAGGTCATTACCCATGTATGCTAGACATTGGAACATGCCTTCGTTTAGAGACCCAGTCTTTTGGTTTCAACCATTATGGTTTCTGGGGATCCAAACCAAATGGAGTAATCCACCACGCCGGAAAGTAGATATTCCAAAAAGCAATCGTAGTATTTCCGACGGTTCTAGATCAGGGACTACCTTGGTCGGTAGTTTGACCTCATCCTCTTTAAATTTGGGATTTGGGCTCGGACGAAGTTTGTGATTGCTCTCGTGTCCTCGATCATTTCCCTATCCCCGATGAAGCGTGCCTTTTTCATGTGGAGGATGTGAAACCTTTCCGCTGGCTTCTCTAGAAATCGCCCGTAATCGTAGGTTTGGAAGGTTGCAAGAGATGACTAGCTAGGGAGTAAATAAATGTTGCGAAAGGATACAATGGATGCTAGACTGTAGAATATTAGATGGAAGAAGAAGAGAAGAAAGTAAGCGTAGTTCAGGTATACGCACGATGGGATGGAAGATGGACGATGTTGAATGTGATGCGAATGAGGAGAAGGGGGAGAAGGTGGAGGATAGGGAGAAGTGAGAGAAGTGAAAGAAGAAAGGTGTAGGTAGCTCAATATATGCTATGAAGTCACATGGTATTCAAATCCTAAAAAGGGAAAGTGCGAACCGTTATGCTTTGCTCCCATCGCGAAATTCCAAGGTTTTATTTTCACTCATATCCTTATTGGACTTAGCTCAAATGACCAAGAAAGAAGAGAGAGCACTGTCCCCAAAGTTCTACCGCGTAGTTCGGATCCTGATATCTCGCCGACGAGATGGTGGAGAAACGTGAGAAAAACCGGACATCCCAAGCCATCTCGGCTTATTTGATCACTCTTTAAAGAATCGTACATGCTAATCAATTTTATTGGTATAGAACGACTTCGAGTTAGTCACCGGATGAGAGGGTGTATGCAATAGGTGTTTTGTTTCTATTCGAGCCGTTCGCAGACAAGACTAACTTTCCAATCTTTGAAGCCTTTAGGTCATGTAGCCCCTGCCTATTTGATGTAGTCGTAGATTTCATAGATAGCTCCTTCTTTCCCTAAGCACTGAGATATTTTCGGACTACTTCTTAGTGCAGATGTGTTCTATGAACTGCTAAATGGTACGGTCTTGGAACAGTACCGCCTGTAAAGGAAGTGTACCATCTGTACTTGTAAATAAACCAAACATCCATATTAATACTTACAGCTGTTATGAAAAGACGTAGGGGGTCGATCATTAGGACTTCTCGACGTTGGTAGGCCGTTGGTAGAATGATCAATCTTGGTAGAATTTGGTAACGTATCAAAGGGAAGCACGTATAGCACCCCCGCTGTACTCAACGCACATTAACATGCAGACTGGCGTTCATGGTCAGACATCCAAGGCTGTAGTTTGCACGGTGGATAGTGTGCCCTCCCTAGCAGCGATGTGATTGGCAAAAAGGCAACTCGTAGCTTTCAATCAAGGCTACCGCGGCAGACGAAAGAGGGGAAGCGAAGAAAAAGAATTCCGTAGAAGATTCAACATGTCAACCATTTCAAATGAGGACAAAGCGATACTCAAGGCAGACGACCCGATTGAGGGGTAGCGAGCCTATCCCACTGTTGCAATTAGCCTGGGTGGCAAATGTCGTCGGTATGTTTCTCTCAATTCGGGATGTTGTAGGCTGCCATGCTAGGGTGGTATACTTGGAGCTGATATACTCCTCGCCCTATCTCCGAAGTCGTAGACAGTTAACATAGTGGGTCTAGATCAATTCTGTTTAGGAATCATGTGGAATTGGATTTAGGGGCACGATTAAAAACCGGCCCGATGATGCAGCCACTACATGTAGCGATATATATCAGCAATGTTATTTTCTTGCAGCTTTTTCTTGGCAACGTAGGATTCTTAATGACGAATCATAGGAAACATGGCGTGGTTATTTCAAAGGTGAAGTCAATGCCTACATAGACTTTCCAATGATACATCATGCATGTCTAGCCGGAGAAAAACCCTTTATCAGCACAAGGCGTTCTCTGCCTTGCGCTCGGGCCTAGTTAAGCCACAAATGACGGCCGGGATTTTACCTTGCTAGTCAGACTCGGTGAAGAATTTTCGTCCTGCATGAATACTTGTGACCTGACAAGTACAGTCGCTTGTTCAGCGCAGGATATCCACTATGCAGGCAAAATACAAAACATACGTTGTAGGCAGTTCTCAAGCTACCGGGCCGGACCCACTAGTGGGCCCAAATGGCTACAACGGCCAATCAGCTTCATGTATGGGCGGAGGAGGCTCAAACAGAAAATTTTTATCAGCGAAAAAAAAGAAATCTCAGGTTTGGTTTGTAGGAATAGCCGAACGCGGGGGTCGAACCCGCAGCCTTAAGATTAAGAGTCTTACGCTCTACCGATTGAGCTAGCCCGGCTGGGCTGTTGAATAAGGCTGCAATAGTACAACCGATATTGGCACGGCGGTAGGGTTAGCTCGGGCCCATGATTTGGTCGGCGGTTAGTATGGGAACATGAATCTCGAGGGTACTGTCGGGTACATGTTGACACGAGGGACGTCTCATGATGGTCCATGAATAGACGGCCGATCTGTGGATAGACAGCCCGTTGGCGCTTGGTGAAACAGAGTAAGGAAAAATAACAATCTCTTTGAGGTGGTCGCGCAATCGGAGGCTCGGGCCCCTTGGTATCAACAACGTGGCTTATGATGCCTAGGGAGGGGAAAAGAGAATGCATCGAAGAAATGGTAGCCTGGCGCGCGCGCCAAGCGACGTGAATGGAGACATAGAAACATATCGAAAACAAGGTTGTGATCGAATAGAAACTCTTGGCTTGAACGCCGGTGGCGTAGCGATAGGGATACATTGTGAGGAAGCAGTTTCCGTAAAAGAAGACATCAGTGGCTGGTGTATCGAATCACAGATCAGAGATTGTGAAGTTAGTGGCCGAGGCTGAGCAGTCATCCTACATTGGGGATAGACTGGAAAAAGCACTGGATGGGAGCTGTTGTATATCTTTCGGCTTGCAGCTGAGAGGGGTAATTGAGGCTGGTGTGAATCCCCGAATATTGGGGTCCAAAATTAAGAATCCGAGTCCGAGCACTATTCTTAGATAGTTTGAAACACTCCAGTATCTCCAAAAACGGAACAAGAGAACAATGCTCAAAGTCCCATTGAAGTGGTTTAGGGAGTTCCAGATTTGTCTCGGTAGACGCTCATCGCAATGCGGCGGTTGCGGGAGCCTATGAGCGTGGGGAATGAGTGGGCGGGAACACTGCGATGAAACACCTCCTTCCGAATGTACTGGCTCTGGTTGAATCTTGAGATTCTATTTCGGAGTGTCAACCTTGGACGTTCAAAGGGTTGCAAATGACGCGAACTCGAGGCCTGTTCTCAGAGGAGGGGAGGGGAACAGGGGGGCACGAGACCCTTGTCATTACGCAGAAAAACGAGAAACATGAGCCACACGATTTTCGGTGAATGACTTGCGTAATAAAACTCTCAAGTAAGATGATTGATGTCATGGGGATCAGGCTATACAAATAAATCAAGCCTTAGAAATAGTGTCGGGGACTGAAAGGGAAATAGTGTAGGTTGTGGTGAAGTTAACTGTGAATTGGGAGGATCAGGCCCAATCAAGCAAATGACAAACACAAAGCACAGCCTCAGCCAGTACGGACAATACAGAGAAGACGTATTACAAGAATAATACCTGCATTTCCCGTCTGTTTAGCGTGAATGGGCCAAGTACCACGAAGGTATCGCAGATCTCAGGCCCCACCAGCAGACACCAGACCCTCCAGGCGCCAGGACGCCATCTATAGACTCTGCATGATACTCATTTAGTATATAATGACCGGGGCCCCCTGCCTTTTACTCTAGAATATCTTCCTCAATATACATCCATTGATACATTGGCATACATTGACATACATTTGAACATTTTACATTCCAATCCATTGCCTTGGAGTTCACATCTGATCATCTCTATACGGTGATCATCTACCGCTTTCGCGTGACCCTCATAAATCAGTCACCGTGTCGCCCTTCCGCTCGACCTCGTATACCGTTGATCGCTCGACTCATTTGACTTCCACGGAGAAATCTCCTCCCCGTTCTAGTCTGAAACGACGCCTATTTGGACTACGCCGCACCAAGACAATGCCTGCCCCAATCGAGATAACAGATCCTCTGGCGCTTGTGCGTGAGCTCCATGCCGATGAGAGGCTGGTGGTCCAGGACTTTGAGAACCACGCCAGCCGGTGCCGCAACTGCGCTCACGCCGTCCAGACATACAAGGATGGTGGCGCACTCTGCGAGTCAGGCAACACTCGCGCCCGCACTCTTCGCAACTACATCTTCAGCCAAAGCGGAAAGCACTTCTCTACTGTTGACTTTGAGAGTGGCAAGTCAATCCGGGTGAGGCTGCCCGCAGATGCCTTCGCTGCCTGCGAGCTTCTCACAGCCCTCGAGCAAGGCTTGCGTATCCGCGAGAAGCCCATTGTCGTTCAGGAACCAGTCGAAACCACCCAGTCCACGAGCTATGACCGGACCTACACCGTCACAGCTCGCAAGGTCAGCAGCAAGCAGACTCGTCCTCGTTCCATGTCCCCCGAGACTTACCAGCTCGTCGAGAGGGCCCCTCGCCTTTCTCGTTCCCCTACTTCCATCATGTACCGCTCGCCCGGCGGATCTCCCAGCCGCCCATCCTCTAGCCGTGGGTCATTGTACGGCGCTGACCGACAAGAGCGTGTGGAGCGCCACTACGAGACTCCTCGGTGGTACGTTGACGGCTCCCCCAAGCACCGTTGAACATATACCTGTCTGTACCTGGAAAGGTATTCCGACTCTGTTTTCTGATTACGATTATACACAACCCCCAACCCAATCGCTTTGAAGAAACCCCAATTCACTCTCGATGGGCATTGATTGCCCACACCCATTTGACCGCGAGACGGTCTTGACCGGTATTGTGCAACTAGCACATTACAGGCATACACATACCCCCAACCCCAACCCCAACCCCAACCCCCCATACCCTAGTCTTTGATAGTCTGGATTGATAGGGCCTGCCGGATGCGCCCTCGGAAATTCACTTTCTGTTTTCCAGCTTTGATCTTTGACTCGAGTGCACGTCGGCGTCCCAGATTTGCGGGACCTCCCAGTCTCGGACCCCGACTTGATTGTGACTCGATCAATTGTTTTGATTGTGTGCAATCATCTGCAGGCTTGGCCAAGTCCCATTGCTGCAGTCATCCCGGAAGGAGATGCAGGTGTGGAGACATTGGCCAATCACGGATGCGGAAAGTCGACGATGTTCATGCATGTATTTTTTTCGTTTTACTGCCTTTATTGGCTGCTGTTCCTGTGACTCATTTTGATGTGGAGAAGCTTGTCTCGATCGATTTGATATTTTGTCAATTTTCCTTTGTCTTTGGTATGCTGTGTTGGAATGCGCCCTTTTCGGGACAAGGCTGTGAGCCTTACACTCTTAGATAGCTCCCACTCTTGGGATTAGGTAGATAATTGAATTGAAATATGAATATCTTACTGAAACAACTACTTAGTTCCCAGGAAATTAATATAGAATGCATAACTATGTACTGAGACATCGTATTATTTCATTAAGCATAGTTGGACAGTTCAGTGAGGTACACGTTGACCAGGCTGCGAAGATCATGATATCCACACTCTGACATACTTTAATTACCGAGTTGTCTGAGGCTCTTACAGTTCTATACATGACTCACTGCGGGGTTGTGGCTGATGTGCTTGGGTCATGTGCCTTAGGCTAGAAGACAGAAATCTTATCCTTTGCTCATATCACCTGTACAAAGTGTCTATGCCACGTGAGTTTCCTTGAATATGACCTGTCGCAGATGATATCGGTAATATGATGCCTTGTCGACGAGGTAATATATACCAGAGTCACCGGCTACATCTTCTGGTTTTTTCTCGACTCCTGATACTATCACCACCTCATAATTATCAGAAATAGGCATGGAAATAGAATTTGGTAAACCCAGTCCTCTCATCACCGCCAATCTATCACTTATAATAGTTGGGCACTTTCAGTCCTTTGAACTCAAACGAAGTGTTCTCCCGACGATCAATCACAGTTTTATGATGAACATCCCGCACCCGAGCTCGAACATACTCAGTCCCCGTAGGAGCAGGCTTGCTTTGGCTTTTGTCTTCTTCGGTTAGAAGACCAAGACGTTCAAGCAAAGGCGAGGGCACAGTTCTCATCACGGTGTCATCACCCGGTCTACAGAAATAGAGCAACCCAAGGCGGGGGATATCGATCTGATCTCTGGGAGGTGTAACGACACGATGAATCGTCGATTTGAGGAAACCTGTCACCCTATGTTAGCGAGATATTTTTCGCACCAACTGATAGGAGCACTTGCCATTGGTAAGGAACGATAACGTGTCAGCAATATTGCATGTAATCCCCCCTTCCACAGGCTTCACGTATTTCCATTCCCCATCCGATGTCCGGATCTGCAAACCCGCAACATGCTGCGAGAAGAGCAGCGTCAAGCTGCCAAAGTCCGTGTGACCGCCCTTGGTATATCCCTGTGCCTTGTCCCATTCCTCTTGAGTGCGCGTGTTGTAGATCATGTATCGCAGGTGGTCATCGGAACGCTTATCATAGGCGTGAGCCTGAACTAGGTGGTCTTCCGGCAATTCCAGGATAATCGCCATCAAGACAAACAGCTTGCGGACAACCTTGTCGAAAAGATCTCGATGGAAGCTGGCAATCTCGTCGTAGTTTTGACGGACGATCCTGTGTTTGGGAACATCATCCCATTCTGGAATAGCTTTGGGAATATTGAGCTGGACATGTTAGTCAAATTCAATCCACGATATAGTGAAGTAAATTCGTACCATTTCTATGTTGTCTTTCACGCCCGTTTCTCCAATCCACCTTGAGTTTTCACGGTAGCCGAAATACTCGCCTTCGGCGAAATTGCATTCGAAGCTTCGCTTTTCCTCGAGGTTCTCTTTGAAAAATGCATTTCCGATACTGAACTGGCGGAGGATGCGCTCGTCATCGAGTCCGTGTCCGACAACTACCCAAAATCCGACTCGTGTCACAGCATCGTACAATTGCTTTGCGAGCTCTTCTTTACCGCCGGGTTCGTCGAAACGAGAAAGATCGATCTCAACTAGTGGTGCCCAATCAAGCTTCTCATTAGTAGGTGCAGGTCGGCTCCATGGTTTGATGATGGCCTTTTCGGTTGGGATTTGTTGTTCTATAGCTGAGGGAGCCATATTTGTTTTAGGATAGGGATGAAGGATGATATCCCAGGCGAGAAGAGTATACTTATATACCTAATTCAAAATAAAACCTATCTACAATGTACTCTTATAGTGCTCTATGCCATACACTGTGCTATTTCAAAGATGCGGGGTTTATGGTATCATGCTCGCTCAGGATGGCGTTATATGCAACGGTATTATCGTGCCGTGAAATGGGGTCGAATCATAGTTGCCGAGTCAATCAAAGTCTGACTCAATAGAATAGAATTTTGAAACTGTGGATTGTGTATCACGTTTGAATGTGCGTAGACATGTCTGATAGATTGATTTGCCAATGTTTGTGCAATCCTCCATTACGAGGGTTTTGTGATCGCCACGACCATTGACCTAATCGGGCTACCTTCAGTCCGTACTTCAGTGCTCTGCTTTTCTCTTCCACTTATATCTTGGTAGTATAAAAAAAAATACCCGACCGCAGCCTTGTTATGTCTTATTAGTAGTCTTTTCAGATATTCATGAATTCATACAGAAATCATTAAACTCATACCCGGGGAAATTACTAGTTTCTTCCAGGCAAAAGCCGGCTGTCGTGCGTAGCCTCATACTGAATATCAGAACACGTAAGGAGCTAGCACGAGAAACTGGATGAGACAGCGTCTGAAAATGAAAGAACCCGAGGAAAAGGTCAGGTTGACCTGAAACTTATCTTTACGAGGCTCGGTTCACCTCCGAAATCCTAGGGATTTGCAAATCCGACGACCGCCCCAATCCAAATGGACTTTCCTACCATTAAAAGGAGCCAGGTATCGCTAGAATCGTTCGACATCTTCGAGGAACAAATTTTAACTGCACGACGACACCACTCCTGACACAATAGAATCCCCACGTTAAACGACTAAACGAGCAAGATGATGGCAGGAGGGATAAGCGGGGCAGATATCACGAATGGCCTGGTGCAATCGAAGGCTGCCAGAACGGCTGCGGACAAAAGACGTCTTCGGACTCCACGTATATGAGTGGGGAAGAGTGGCTACAGTGCGGAGATACCAAGAAATGGTTTATAGCTAAGCTACAGTTCCGGTTAGATCACCTCCACTCAACAGGGAGCTTAGACAAGCCACCAAAAGGCCACAGAGATAATAAAAACCCTAGTGATTGGACAATTGCAGAGTAGGGCTTCAACGTCTGAGCATTTTTGTCGCCCCCGGTCAGCACAGTGGACTACCCTGTCTGATTTGTCAGTAAGCGGTGCTTTTGTATGTACTCTGCAGAACCTTAAGCGAACCTTAGATGCTCATACTTGCACATTGAAACCGACTGCTTTGATAAAATCAAATACAAAACAAGTTACTAAGGCCATACCATACTACTCGAGGCATTCTCTCATCCCAAGGTTCAGTATATGTCAGAATCTAGGATGAATACTGTTATTTTTCATTCCTGATACAGTTGGGTCACGTGACTGACCAGGCTGGTATTTCTGCAGAAAAACCAACTCAGATGGTTTTTCGCCCGAAAAACCAGTCCCGCAGTTTTTCGCCCGAAAAACATCCTTTCATTTTGTTTTGTTTATTTTGATTACTAAGTTGTCCACAAGATTGTCATGTTTTAGGACTATTGTTATTTTTAGAGAGTTAGAGAATTTATTAAGATTTTTCTGCCATATATACAATCGCCTTACCACCGTTTTTCCGTTAGTTATGAGCCCAGAATTGCTTTAAACTTGACTCTTACAATTTTTCAACCTTTTATCCTATTTTGGACACGCCATTTAGTTAACATTGAGATACCTGGCCATATACCAGGATACCCCTAAAAACAAGACTCGACCCTAAAAGTAATAATAACTAATCATAATCGGAATTTCGTTTAGGACTGCGATTCAGATATCATAGTAGATTATTATCCTCTCTCCGCAATACCTTCTCGCGTAATTTTAAAGGATTCGACCAATTAGGTACTATAGCTTATAACCATTTAGGCCATTACCTAAATATATAATATTTAGGATTATTATAACCCTAAACTAGAAAAGGAACCAGATCGACCAGTTATACCAATTATACTAAAATAGGAAGAAGTTAAAAATAAGTATAGAAATGATTAGTATAACGTCTTTAACGTTCTAAACAGTAAATACTAAGAAAAGAAGACTACCTATAATAGTGTAATGGATAAAGATCCGTATAAGAGGAAAACACATGTAAGTCTACATAGGCTCGGGAAGGAATGTCTATATTGTCATATATCTATTCCGATGTCGATTCGTAAGGGGTTTGTCATATGAATATAGGCAGATAGATTTCCTTATAGATAGGGACCCCCTAGGGCCCCCCCTTAAGACTAGTAAGAATTAGTCTTGATATACTATTAATATATTGTATTCCCTCTACTAAGCCCTTTATATCTTACCTGGTTAATAGGCCTTATACCTATATAATGTATATTATTACAATTCTAATTCTTCTTCTTTAACTACCTGAGATATAATAGCTCCCTTAACTCATTAGTAATCCTAGGGAAATACTAAAATTCCTAAGAATCAGTCCTAACTAAGAGATAAAATAGAGGAAAATCAAACTAACCCTCCTAAGGTAACCGCAGAAACTACCCGACTTATCTAAGAAAGGATCCAGGCCCTCGAAACCAAAGCAGTACTTTAGGAAAAACTTATTACTACTAAAGAACTTATTAAAGTAAATCGAAGAAAACTTAAGAGTTATTAGAAGGAAAAGGAATTGAACTAACCTAGAAATAAAGGTAATTCGATATCGGAGAGTAAATATAGTTAGAAGAGCGAGATTAAAAGAGATATTATAATATTTAAGAAGAACTATAGTATTAAAAATAGAGAAAATTAGCTAAATAACCTTAATACCCTTTTCGAAGGAGCCCTAAAGAAATATATTTTAGGAAAATAAAAAGTTTTAGCTATTATAAATTTCCTTTATATAGACTATAAAGGAAAATAGGTAATCTATAAGCGAAATAACCCTAAAGATATAAGAAATTAGGAAGCGTTTAGAGATTAGACTAAAACCCTACTCTAAAATTCCTATAATATTATTACTAATATTTTAGTCCTATTTAATCAAGTAGAAATATATATATACTAAGATCTAGGTATCTTCGAAACCTACCTTAAATCGCTAGAGCGTTATTTACTAGAAACTACTAAAGAATAAAAAGTATAAACCCTTTTTATAAAATTATAGAAACCTCTTAGAGATATAATAATTATATCTAGTAATAGTACTTTACCGAAAACTAGAGGAGAAATATTAAAACTAATATCTACCCTATTCTATATCTATTTTCTACCTTTAAAAAGAAAAGACTAATTATAATAGCTTTAGTTAAAGAAGTAGAAGGAAAACCCTAATAAAATAACCTTAAATCGATCCTAATCTAACTCCTCTACTACTAATCCTACTACTTTTAGGGAAGGATATAGAGGAAACCATAGTAGAGGAAGAGGTTAATATAGGGATTATAGATATAGGGGATATTAAAATGTAAAATCTAAAGCCTTAGAAATAAACGCTACCTTAATAATAGAAAAAGGAAATACTACTAAAGCTACTATAATAGGGATATATTTCCTTTATAGTAATAAAGATTATTAGGTAAATAAGTATCCCTAAAAGGCTATAGTTTAAATATTAGTTTAAATAATAAAAGGAAGTAAATCCTAAGTATTAGGAAAAGTAAAAGAGCTAGAGTAAATCCTAATATCTTAGCTTAATACCTATTTATTAGGATAGCTATATACTTATATATACTAATTACCCTTAGAAATAGTAATAAAATATATATAGATCTTAATACTACTATAGAATATAATATTATTAGTAAAGAATTTACTTATAACTAAAAACTTCCTACTACTCTATTATCCTCTTTACTACTAAAAGGAATTTCCCTAGAAAAGTTATATATATATAGTATATACTAGGTTATATTTACTATAAAAGATTCTAGAGGTACCGAAAAAGTTATAAAATAACTATATATTAGTATCGAAAGAGATCTATATTTAGAAAGAAGCCCTATACTCCTATCTAGAATATTTATTAATAAATTTAATATTATCCTATAATTAAGTATAAATTATTAGTAGTTTAGGGTTAAAACTTTTAAGTTAATAAATCTATATAAGTTTATAAAGGTATTATAAAATATAGCTATTATTTATACCTTAGTTAAATTACCTAAAGAAATCTAGTTACTAGATAAAGATAGAAATTATACTTATCTTAATATATCTAAGATTCTACCTAAGTTAGAGGTATATCTTAATATATTTAATTATAAAAAGGTAGGAACTCTCCTATAAACTAAGTTATCTAACTATATAATTAAAACTAAAGAAAGTAAAACCCCTCTTTATAGACTAATTTATCCTCTCTCTAGAATAGAGCTTAAGGAATTATAGGCTTATCTTATAGATAATATTAAAAAGAAGTAAATCTAACTATTAAAAAGCCCTATAGGTATACCAATCCTTTTTATACTAAAAAAAGATAGAGGTCTATATCTTTATATAAACTACTAGTGTCACGATTGGCGCTAGAGGAACTCGTACCTTCCCGTTTGGGATCGTACCGTTGGTCGTTCCTTCTCGTTTGTATAAGGTAATTGTACCTTCTATCTGGGATAAGCGAGGATAGGGCTATGCCCCTGAAGGGGTATAAAGACCTGTTTGTTAATTTATGTTTTATTTTCTTTTCCTTTCTTCTTTATACTTGATATTTAATTAGTAATATACTTCTTTTATTAAAGAGAACCTAGCACGTAATATAATATTAAGTATCACCTTAAACCCAAACTTTCGAAGCCATATAACTGCATAGACAATTATTACGATTAGTCCTAGTCCGGTTTCACCCTACCTATCTTAAAACTAACTAGAATAGGACTAGCTATAGTTCTACTATAATAGATCGCCGCGATTAGTAAGGGAAAATAACCTATAGTGCCGGATTATCTTATAGAAGAAGCTATAAACCTTAAAACCCTAACTCCTACTGGAATATAGGATCTAATTAAAAGTATTAAATATAATAGCCCTAAGGAGGGTCCTTCGACTCCTTCTATCTAAGAGATTATATATATAACTCCTAGTAAGGAACAATTCGTTAAGCTAGCTAATCGGTTCTAAATAGTCGAAGACAATAACCGGATAATATAAGATAAAATCTAAATCTTGATTATAGAGAATGGAAAGTCTAAGGAAGCTATTAAATAAATTATAGAGGAATATAATCGATTCTATATAGAAAGGGATTGCCTTATAATAGAATGTAACTAAGCTATAGAAGAATACGATAAGGCTACTACTTATAGAGATATTACTATATATAAGTGCGATAACCTTACCTACTACCTTATTCTTACTTAGAGCGAAACGAATTGGGCCTAAAGTAATATACCGATCATAGGAGTTACCGGCTAGAAATCTATAAAGATACCTAATATACTAATATTAAAGGATAGAAAGGAAGTCCGTTTCGAAATATAGGAAATGGTTATTAGATAGAAACTTAAAGCGAATGCTAACTACTACCTATTACTAGTTTACCGGAAGCTGTATATATAAAGCCGATATAAAGGTAAAGTACAGCTATATATTGCCCTATAAATAAGCGTAACCTTAAATAACCTATATATTAACGTAGAAGATATCATTATCTACCTCTGTACTGTCTTTGTAAACCCGAATTATTATATAGAAGTGTATATAGCCTACCATAAACTCAAGATAAAACCTAAGGAAGATTTTACTGACTTCTTAGCTAAATTTATATAACTTATAGAGGAAGCCATAGTTATTAAAGAGAACTATAAGTGTGACCTGTATTCGAAACTTCTATATCTATTATTAGACATCGGCAAAGCCCACCCGGCCTATAGCCCAGCCTAGCCCAGCCCACCAATGGGCTGGGCTTTGGGCTCACTTCTTCGGCCTACACTAAATTATGGGCCGATACCCTGGGCCCATAGCCCACGATGGGGGGCCTATATGGGCCTTACATAATACAAATAGGCCTCTGGCGCACAGATGCATAACTAATGCATTTCCGACCTATATTATTACGTATCCTAGTTACGGTAGGAATACCAGGAAAATTCAAAGAAGGTAGTAAAAATTGAGAAGACAGTACTATTAATATATTCTAATAATGCGTATAATCATCGTCGACCCTGCTCTTACGCTTCCTCTAAGACACACGAAATAGAGTAGTAGGCTCTGGCAAATCTAGCTAAAACCCCTCTATCTCACTATTGCTATTACTGCCCCTATCCCTACCGGCTGGGAAGGAAGGAGATACCTCCTGTATCCTATCGCTTTCCCCCCCCTTCTCCTCCTCCTCCTTATTATCACTAATTAGATTATACTTACTATCCTCTAGAAAGTCAGCACTCTCCTCCTTCTCAACCTCAGCCTCTACTAGACTAAGTAACTACTGCAATTCCTTTATCTCAGTATCCTTAATACTAAACTTAGTTGTATAGCGGTAGAGTATAAGCTCCTTAATTATCTCAGACTTCAGGCGACCGCAGCGATAATAGCAAATATCCCGTATAGTATTAAAGAGTCGCTTAATACCAGCCCTAGTTACTAGTATTAAGAGGATATCGCGGGTAAGTTATATAATTGTAGGAAAACGAGTTTCATTCTCCTACTAGAACTGCAGAGGCTTAGTATTAATAAGGTCTAAGGTAAAGAGTGGTCAGCATAGTATAGTAAAATAGTAGGGAAGACTAAGGTATTATATACCGCTATTAAGGTACTAGGCTGCCTTATTAACGGCTGGTCTTATAGACTTCTACCTACTCTTTAGTAGCCTGTGTAGCCTAAAGCTAGCCGGTATTATAGCTAGTATATTAGCTGACCCCTAGCCTAAAGTAAGGCATTCTTAATAGGGCGCTAATATATCCTAGAAGGATTTCCGGTATTTATTATACCACTTAGGCTCCTAGCGGCCATCTAACTGGAAGAATTAAAGTCGACTATTAGGGGCCAGTATTATCCTAATAGTAAAGAGGTCTCCTTTATAACCGGTCGTTTATATATAGTACTTACTTAGCTTTTCGTAGCCAGTAATAAGTGTACTTAGTATTTCTGACTTCTACGGAGCATGCTTCCGTTTTAGTAGTACCTCTATCTAGTCGAAGTGATTAAAGAGGGTATTATAAATCTTAAAGGTAAGGTAGGTAGTTACTTCCTTTATCTTTAAGAGTTCTGTTATATAGTTATAGAAAGGCTAGGTGATTTATAGAAGGTAGTTAATTTAACGCTATTTTAAATTACTAGGAAGTATCTCCTTATAATCATAATTAGTATAGAAGGATATAAAGAATAGGTATATTCTTTTTACCTAGTAAAGTATCAAAAAGGTTGAGTTCTACTGGGTTACCATATCCTAGATCGGAATAAGGTATAGCCCCTTCTCTTCTTATAGTTAGAGAAAGGCAGCCTAGCGCTTTAGGCTAGTATAGATATAGAGGGTAAGATTGTGGATCTTTTTTAGTATCTTCGAGATTGCCTATTTCTAACAATTACCATTTTCTTTTATATTCTTTGAATTCCTATTAGTCTAAATTGACTTAATGATATTATTTTTTAGTATAGCCCACAGGCGACCTAGGAGCTAGTTAAGAGAGAGCTAGATAATATAGGCAAGGTAGGGTATTCGGAATACCTATATACCGCTTAGGAGCCCTATCTAGGTAGCCTTAACTAGTGTTATATTATTAGAAGTATTATCAGTTATGATTCCGAATACCTAGTCTATGATCTTATGCTTAGCTAGGGTTTTAAGAAGGATAGTACTAAGATACTTTCTAGTATATACCTAGTAAAGCGGCTTAAACCTAAGTAGAACCTCGCGATATACCTAGTTACTATTAATAAAGTAGCTAGTAATTGCTATAAATCCCTGGTTATATAGGGATATCTAGCAGTCTAATGTAATTAAGATTTTTATATCCTTTAGTAGTATCCTAAGCGCTAAGCCTACGCTCTCTTAAATATAATTATATAGGCACCGGTGTATTATTATAGCAGAAGGCATTCAGGAGAGGGATAGTGCTATATAGGCTATTTGGAAGAGATGCTAAAAGGACTCGCTCTCAATGAGGGAGAAGGATAGTCGACCTATAGTAATAAATCGGAGTAGGGCCTTATCCTAGGTAGCCTCTGAATATTAGGCCTTAGGGGGTATATAGTCCTATCGGCCTAGATATATTAGTAAAATATTAAGCTAAGGATTAGGTAGTTAAAATCATACTCTTTTTAGAAAAAATTAGCTAATTCCTCTTCCTGCCCTCTTTACATCTTAGGCCCTAAGGTAGGCCTATATCTTTAGGTACCTTGATATAGTCGATAAGCTGTTACAGCCCTTTCTACTACTTAGAAAGTTCGGGTACTCTAAAATACTATGGTAGAACTTATACTAAACCTTTAGTATCCTATCTCTACTATAGGTAACCTGGTAGAAGTCTTGCTATATAGGGGAGCTGTGATTTATATCCTAGTAGATACTGCCTTTCTACCTATAGTCTATTTATAGCCACTATTTAACCTATATCTTATTTACTATTTTATTATATAGGATATAGTCCTTTCTCCGGTTAGGGCTAACGCGCGTAAAGTAGGATAGGGGGTCTCTAGAGACTAGGGGGCAACTAGGCTTAGTATTAAAGGGCTCGGCTTAGCTACTAGGTAGTAGGCTGAAGGAGGATAGGGCATAAGAGGACTCTACTTAAGAGGTCTAGGGAGAGGAGGGAACGTAGCCTATACTATAGGTTATATCTGTATCCCTATTAGATTAGGTACTTTAGGATATAGTACCTAGAATAGCAGCAGAAAGTAGGGGGGTAGTATAAGGGAGGGGAGTAGTAAGGGAGTAGCATAGAGTATATATAAATAGGAAGGATAGGTATATATAATAAAAGACTAATTCTATCGCAACTAGATAAGGAAGATTAAAGATTACCCTATTAGCTAGTTACCTAGCCTAATCTAGATAGGCCATATAGGCTACGCGATATAGGCTAAGAATCCTAAAAAGGCTGAGGGCCCTACAATCTAAGAAAAAACTTATCTACGTGGATCCTACTGGCTAGGGGCCTATTATACCATAGACAGCTAATAGAAATTATAAGAATATATACTACTATGTACTTCTTAGACTAAGAGTTTTTTTACCTAAAAAACCAGTAACTAGTTTTTCGCCTAAAAAACTTTAAGTGGTAGTAGCGAAATAGAAGTATGAAAGTAAACTACTTCTTAGGCTAAGAGTTTTTCGCCCAAAAAACTAGTAACTAGTTTTTTGGGCGAAAAAAACTGAGTAGTAGTAGTGAAATAGAAGTATAAAAGTAAACTACTTCTTAGACTAAGGGTTTTTCGCCTAAAAAACTAGTAACTAGTTTTTTGGGCGAAAAAAACTAAGTGGTAGCAGTGAAGTACTTCTTAGACTAAGAGTTTTTTTTACCTAAAAAACCGGTAACTGGTTTTTTAGGCGAAAAAACTATAAGTAGTAGCAGCGAGGTAGAAGTATTATTATAAAAGAAATTGTTATAGTTATATTTGTCTATGAAAAAAAAGATATATCTAGTAATATATCTAGTACCTATTGAAATTTACTAATATAGCCTTAATTATTAACCTCCTCAAATTCTCTATTAGCCTCACTGCCCTCCTCCTCCCCCTCGCCTATTTTAATATCGATGCCGACATTATCGTTAGGCCAATCATCGCTACTATTATTATCGTTATCGTCGCTATCACTACTATTAGTATCGCCGCTATTAGCATTACTACCATCAGTATCACCGCTATTAGTATCACCGCTATTAGTATCACTGCTATTAGTATTACTACTACCAGTATCGCTATTATCGAGAAGGTCCCTCTTATATCTCTAAAAGAATGAGTTCTTCCTATAGGCGTCCTTTTTAGCCTTAACGGTCAGCTTAAATAGGTAAGTATACTCTAGCTGCGCCTCTTACCTCTAATTCTAAATATATATTACTGCAGCGGCCTTATTAGGCCCAAAGAGTATATTAAGGTCCTTTGTGGCAGCTAGTATTATCTACTTAGACCGCCCTACTAGGTATTCTGAAATAGCAGAGGTAGTATAGAAGTAGGTAGCAGCGGGGAAGGTATATAGGACGTATATATATTACCGACTTATTAGTCTAGAGAGCGTCCTAGCGGCATTAAGGAGGTCTTTATATACAGCCGATACCTCCTCCTAGGAACTAGACTTAGGTATATCGAGTATTAAGTGGTTATCCCTAATACCTATAAACCATAGTAAGATAGTCCTCCTCTATCTGGTTACTAGTCCTATTAAGCTATAGGGAAGGGTAGGAAGGGATAGGTAGATATTACCTGCCTTATAGACTTGCTTTTTCTAGTTCGTTTAGTACTAAGCTATATCCTCTGGTTACTATATCTTTAGGGTGATCCTATAGATAAAGCCATTAGGGACCTTAAATAGCTTTCGGCTAGATAGGTTTTCTAGGTCCTCTACGCGAATTTATAGGTCTTTCTACTAAGAAGCAATATAGCGTTATATCCCTAGTAGAATAACGGTATAATTACTATTATCTTCGTTATTAAGGGAGACTAATCCCTATAGGATATTACTACCCCTACTAGTAGCTACAAACTCTCTAATATTAATATCAATATATCGGAATAATATTCTCTTACCAGGCAGTATACTCTTCATATAGTATAGAAATGCAATTAATTTCTATTAGTAGTCCGGCCGAAAGAAGATATAATAGGTATAGTATACCGGGTCTTATTAGATCAGTTACTGTACCAAGCTATACTATATACTCCGCAGCCAGCCGAGGCGGTGCCCACAGCGCTTACTAAAATAGTGCTTATATATATTGAATTCTTAGTAGATTAGTAATAGAATTCTACTAGGGTAGGCACTATTAAAGTCCTCCTTTAGCCACCTAAGTAGCTATAGTAGTACTATACTACCATCTATAGTTATTTAGGTATAGATAATATTAGGCTGAAATTAGTATCCAGGTATAACCCTTCTATAAATACTCTTAAATAAAAGCCAGTATATAGTATCAAATGACACGACCACTAGGAGTACAGGTTTTGGATTAAATTCATAGATACCACATATTTCCTTTAGGTTTCTAGGATCTAGGCCTAGTATAAACCAGCTAGAGAACTTCCTCTAAAACTCATCCTATTAGCCAAGATAGTAGTAACTGAATTAGATTCATTCTACTAACTCCTAAGGGCTCTTACCACCGCCTTATATACCTAGTATATTAATAATCCCTTTAGCATATTTAAAACAGATATAACTAGTACCGAAATCTCTATCAACTAGTTTCGCAATTTTCCTAAAGGTAACCAGGGCCTCCCTCTCCTTCTATATACTATCTTTCACAATTATTATATGCTTATCTATTATTATCTCTGCTGTACAGCAGCTATATATCCTATTAGTAGGCTGGCTTATCATTACTACTACTATAGTATTATTACTTGGTAGGATGGCCACAGTATTATTACTTAATAGAATGGCTATAGTATTATTACTTAGTAGAATGGCTAGGGGCCTATCCTACCTACCCCCTCCCCCTTCCTATTAAACCTCACTCACGTTAAATCCTAGGGTACTTGGCAGCGGTATTAGCTATTTAGGCTACTGGCTACTATACCTACCGATCAATATATCGCCGACCTCTTTAAGATCCCTTCTACTCCCAGCCGTATAATAGAACCTATTAGTATTAATCTAAAGACTATGATCTTAGAGATCCTTTATATAGAGTAGGGTTATCGACTTACTATATAGCCTAGAGTAGGCCTACTATATATCGATCGGCTTAATATACTTACAATTCTTCTAGACCCCACTCCTAAAGGAAGAAACGTATTAGGCAACCTCGTTATTAATAGTAAGCCTTACATCCTAGTAGTTCATTTTTACTATA